GACATGGACGTGATCTGCCCTGGGGGGGCGGTGGGGGCAGGGCGGGAGCGGTTTCTCCACCAGACTCTCTGTTCCGGGCAATGTGCCAGGACCCAAGAGCTCTTAAGGGCCTATGAAAACGTTTAAGGCCCAGGAAAACAATTTATTTGGCTTCAAATAAAAAAGGAAAGCTGCAAAGTTGAAATTGATAAATGTTTAATCAAATGTCTACAAAGCGTAATATTATCAACTGCTCAACCATCCACTCCAACTCAGCTTCTGCATAGTTACATATAATTTGTATTTAGTGTGCGACGCTGGGACATTTTAATAGGTTTGATCTGATGGGGGAAAGGGGTTTCTAAAAGTGAGTGTCTGCGGCTGGAAAGGTCATAGAAGAAGGATGGCTGGGGGCGGGTGGCGAGAGCAGAGACTTGGCAGAGGAGGGGCACTTGGCTGGAAGGCTGCGGGGGCTTTTCCAGCAGAGAGAAGGGCACCCCCGGGCAGGGAACAGCATGTGCAAAGGAGCAGTGCCTGGCCGGGCCTGGTTTGCCCGAAGAGCCTGGACTAACTCACTGTGTCGGCAGCAGAAAGTGGGATGGGGGCGGCTGGGGGGAGGGGGGGTGGCGGGAGCACAGCTGTTCTTTCCCTTCTTGAGCCTCTCTCCATTCCAGAACCTTCTTCCCCATCACCAAGGCCCGGCTCCACCTTCATCACAGAGCTGGGCCAGGTGGTGGCCCCCAAGCCCAGCTGGGTCTCCCCACGGACCACTCCAGCCTGGCTCCAGATGCCCCGTCCTGTGAACCCAGGTCTGCTCAGGGGCTGCATCCCTGGTTCAGAAACCACCCAGAGACCCAGACTCTACGCTCGCTTCTTGGTTCATTTCTGGGCACGAGTGCATTGTTTCTTCTTCCCCAGCCCAGCATTTCAGCTCAAACACCCCTCGTGTCCGTTGAAGAGACGATCGCGCAATTACAAGCCCAGTTTGGGGAGGACACCCCCATTCTCTGCCCAGCTCAGAAAACCTCTAGGCTGGTGTCCTCGAAGTCCCTGTGTCCCTGGGCTGTCAGAGTGAAAGCCCGGGTTTCCTGGGGCTGGGAGCTCCACCAAGCAGGGCCCCTGTCCCCTGTCAGTGCAGAACGGCCCCGGTCCTCCCCGGCGACAGCAGGGGCAGGTCACTTCCTCTCTTGCGGGAGTACCAGGCTGGCTGGACAGCGGTGGAAGGACAGGCCACTTGGCCCAGCCCAAGGGGGCTGACGGCAGGGGAAGGGGTCCCCTCAAACCGCCCCTCCAGCCAGCATGTCCGCAGCCGAGGCTTTAGGTTAGATGCTGCCTTCTCCGGCCCTTGGGTTTTTCTTCCAAAATGGAACTTCTCTCTGCCCTCGGGGGGGGTGGGGGGGGGGGCCCCCGCGGGGGGGGGGGGGGCCCACGCAGCATGTCAGAGCAATGAGGTTGGGAGTTGAGAGGTGGGGTGGGCACGGGGTGCTGTGGGGGTAGAAAGAGTGGATCCTGTATACAGGATGCTCTGCCGTTTCGTCAGAGCAACACTAGACAGGTTCCCTCGCTCTCTGTGCCTGTTTTCCCCAGCCTCCCCGGCCTCACTGGTTGCCTTCAAAGCAGCTCCTTCGCTCGGCGACAAGTATCTGAGACAGTCCCGGGGGGGGGCGGTGGGGGACGCAGCTGTCAATAGGTGTCAGCGGCTCTAATAAGAATAGTAACCGGGATTCTAGTAATTCTGTTCTTGTTGTTAGTTCATGTTGTGTGAGTAATGCCTGTAGATGCAGGGCAAGCACGAGGGCCTCTGAGGCCCTTCCTGGTCTGGCCCAACCCTCCTCCCTCCCTTCAGTCGCGGAGGCCCCCCCCCCCCCCTCCTGCTGTTTCTGGCCTCTTTGCCTTCCGGCAGGCTGTTCCCCCAGCCTGGAAAGCCCTTCCATCATCCTCCCCTGGCAAACTCTCACTCTGCCTGGAGGAGACAGCCCAGAAGCCATCTCCCCTCTGAAGCCAGTTCAGACCTCCCTCCCCCACCCCTCCCAGGAGCCCCCTGGGTGGCCAGCACCTTCTCGGATACCTTCAGGTCAAATCTCCAATCACTAGAACCTGCACTTACATACCCTCCCCCCCAGGGCAGGGGCTTCCTCCACTGCCTTTTCTTCTCTGTGTCCCTGGTCCCAGAGCTCCACCTGGCACAGCGCGGGCGATCGCGTGTGATTACTGAACAGGGCACGGTGCCGGGTTCTAGGTCCCGAGCCATCCGCCCCGACTGCCCGTGTCGGAGCCTCGGTCTCCGCATCTGCAGTATGGGTGCGCCGGCCCCTGTGGGGCCCACCTCCCGGGAGCGCAAGAAGGCCTGGCGTCCCCAGGCTGGTGGCCCCACGCAGGGGGTGAAAGGGGAGGGACTGTCTTCAGTTCTGCCGCCTGGTCTTCGGCGAGAGGAGCTGAGCTGGTCATGAGGGTCGTCAGGGGGGACGGAGACGGAACTGCTGTCCACGCCAGCATCACCCCGGAGCCGCGGAGCCCGGGCTGAGGGCGGAGGAGGGCCCTGGGCCCGGCGGGCTGGCCGCACCTGCTCCCTGGGGCGGAGGAGGGGACCCGCGCCTGCCTCCGGGTGTGGCGACCCCGCGGCGCTGCCGGCTCCGGCCCCGAGGTGGCGCTGCAGGCCGTCGCAAGGGCCACTCAGCCCTGGGGCCGCTGGAGCCTGGGGCTGGGGAAGGGTCTGGAGGGAGCGGAGGGGCGGGGCAGGGGGAGGTGGGGAGGAGGGGCCTCAGAAATGGAGGAGAGGAGGGAGGGAGAAGCTGGGGGAACAGACGAGGGAAGGAGAGAAAATGCTAGGGAGGGGAGGGGAGGGAGGCCGGGGCTTCTTCCTGTTCAGGGGCTTGAGGAACCGGGTCCTCCTGGAGCTCCCCACCCCCATGTCTACAGGGCGGGCGCTTTGTCCCTTAACTTCTCTTTGACCCTCCAAGGCTCCCAGGGCCCTCAGGATGAAGCCTGAACCTCACAGCCAGCTCACCAGTCCTCTGTGATCCGACCGCAGTGCACCCCCAGCCTCCTCTTCCTCCACCTCTCCGTCCCCCTACCTGCACCCCCACACCCCAGGCCCCAGCCCTGCAGAGCTGCCCGCTGCTGGGGGGGGGGGGGGCGGGGGGGGGAGCTCTCCCTCTCTGCCAGACCTTCGCAGGTGCCAGGTTGCCTCTGCCTATACTGACCTCTCCCCATGGACCCCTCCCCCTCCGCCTCCCCATGGACCCTTCCCCCTGGCTCCCTGCTTCTCCCTCAGGCCTCAGCATGATCCCCTCCTCCCAGAGGTCCTCCCTGACACCCCTGTCCAGGGCTGGGTTCCCCCCCCCCCCCCCCCCCAGGCTCCCCGGCCCTCCTGCATCTGCCCTGTCCTGGCACTGAGCACTCTGGGTTGTGATGGATTCCTGTGTGTCCCCAGCCAGACTGGGGGCTCCCTGAGGGCAGGGACATGCCTCATTCCCTTCGGTGTCCCCGGGGCCAGCCCAGGGGCTGAACAGGCAGAGGTGGGCAACAGAAGGTGGGATGCGTGAATGATCTGATGGGGGAGCTGGGAGAGGGGAGCAAAGAAGAGAGGGAGCTGGGGGGAGGGGAAGAGCAGGATCCAGAGAGAGAGGCACTGAGGACACCAGGCCGGGTCTGCAGGGACCCTCGGGCCCTGAGTGCTGCCAGGCGGTGATCTCCCTCCTGAGGTCAGCTGGCTGCCTGGCTCTGGACCCTTGTGACCGTAGGGGAGGGACTCCGGTGTCTCCGATGCCAGAGTGCAAGAATGCAGCCAAAACTACTGAGGCACCAGGACCTGGACCAGGGACAGGGGCCCCTCTCACCAGAATGCAGTCTCTCTCTCTCTCTCTCTGGTTGACTCCCTCTCCCCATAGGACCCCCACTCCGGAGCCTTCTCACTACCCCACACGCTTCAACTTTATTCACCATCAGCTCTAATGACCCGCGGACCCAGCCAGCCCTCTTCATCAGGCTCTCAAAGCACAAATGGGGGAAGAGAAAGGCAGGGAGAGCCCCCGGCATCCTCACCGTGACCTCTCTCCGGTGCCATCTGTGCAGGACCTGCTCTTACCAGACACAATGTCACATCTTAGTCAAACAGCACCCACCAGCCGGTTCCTGGATTCTCATTTTACAGACGAGAGACCTGAGGCTCACTGCTTCCCATCCCCCACGCTCTCAGACGCTGTCTCCTCCTCTGCCAATATCCCTGCTGGGTTTCCTTGGTCGGGTCTTCTGTCGTCTCCGGGCCTCAGTTTCCCACTCTGTAAAATGGGGAAGGCAGAGAGAGCTACCAGGCCCCTTTCAGCTGTGACACCTGGGAGTCACCTCGCCCCATTTGGCAACAGCCGGCTGCCTCAGCAACGCTTGTGATCTGTGCCCTTCCCTCCCCGTGACTCGTTTGCTGTGTGGGGCCCTTGGAGAAGCCCCTGAGTAAATATTAATAATGCAGAGTTGCCTTCATGTCTGAGAAAGCAGATGAATCATTTCCTGCTTCCCTCCCGGGCTCCGGATTGTAGCTGAGGGTTTGTTGGATCTTTGGAGCAGTTGCCAAGAGACCTGGGCTGATGGGGTCTCATTGCTGGGGCAGAGCCAGGAAACAGCTAACCCCCCGCTGCCTCGCGGCCTGAATGCCACTGTCCCAAAGCCAAGTCTGCACCAGAGGCTCTGTGCACAGTCCTGACCCTGCCCCGGCCTGGCTCTGAGGCTCGTCCGGCCTCCCCTGGAAGATCCCGGGGTCCACCTGGCAGGGACGGAGGAGCAGGGGGCAGGGTGTGGAGGGCCTGGTCCTCACCCCCCACTGAGCCCTGCCGGTACTCATCTTCCCGGCGCTCATGCTGGTCATCACGCCCTGTGTCACACCCTGGGACGCATCTGGGTCCCCACCCCGTGTGGATGCCCTGAGCGCAGGGCCCTTCCAGGGGTCAGCCAGCCTCTCCAGAAGGGGCTGGTGCTTCTGAGAGCTTTTGTCCAGCTCCTGGTGACCCCCTCCCAGCCCTCTTCCCCTACAGGGGACCTCCCAGAAGGCACACTTGTAGGTCCAGCGGGAGCCAGTGAAGCCAAAGAGGATAGAGGAGAACTGATCCAAGTTGGACCAGGTGGGTTCTCTCTCCCGGAAATGGAGGGGGGGGGGGTTGGGACTGAGGGAATGTGGTTCCATCTGGGATGTTCTCTCCACTGGAGATGTGGGCGGCCATCCTCTGTTGGACTCAGCAGGCATGTTCCCGTGTCACTATTAGCGCTCCCCTGGTCTACCTAAGCCAGTTTGAGTTGATTCCTGCCACGACCAGCAGTGTCCGGGCCAGCCCGGCTCTCTGCTCCATTACCTCCCTCAGGTCTCTCTTGAGGTCCATGAGGTGGGCCTTTCTAGCCCCTCGTTTCACAGGTAACAAAACCCACAGGGAGTGAGCTCAGATCACTAGCGTAGGGTCGCCGGAGCAGCATGGGAGCTTTCCCACGGCCCCGGGAAAGTCTCGTCTCTGCAGACCTACACGGAGCAAATGGGTTGGAACTAGAGGTCCAGGGGGACTCGCTGGGGCCACTCCTGCCAGAACCCGCCGCCACCCCCCCCGCCTCCCCCCGGGGAGAAGGGTCACCACACCAGCGGACAGTGGGAGCTGCCTGAGTCCCCCAGGATAGCCCCGATCCGAGGGGGTGCCCCGCCCGTCGCTATTGGAACAGGACGGGACTCCGGCAGCCTGGCCCTCCCGCTGGAGATTTGGATGATCTGAGATCAAGGAAATCTCAGAGCCACCCGTTACTGCTGCTGTCATGCCACAGATGACTGGCTGGTGGCTGTAGCCTGCGCCCAGTACAATGACCTAAGTGACCTTCTGGTTTGGTCCCCTAGATGGGCCGGCGGATTATTTCCAGGGCCAGGGCTCCCGCTCACACTTCACATCCATCCCCATTACCCTTTGCTGCCCTTGGGGAGAGTGACCCCAGGGCTCTGAGATAGAGCTACTTAAAACGAGGGCACAGGCTTCCCGCAGTGACACCGTCACACTGTGGGCAGCAGCTGTCTCCACAGGACTGAAGGCTACCTTCAAAGTCAAGGGCAGAAGCAATGGAGACCATCCTCCCCAAAGCCCTTCCTTAAACTGCTGAGGGAACAATATTCCAGAAAGGGGCTAGAGACCGGCCCAGGTCTCGCGGTGTCATTAAGTGGCCCCACGTGTCATTAAGAGTCCACAGAAGCCACAGTGGGCGTTATGTGAAGCTCGGGGGTACAAGGGCAAGTCAAGCAGATGTGGCCTCTGTCCCCACGGCATTCACAACTGAAGGTGGGAGAGAGGCCACCAATGTTCCGTGCACCGTGGAGCGCCACGGGGACTGGGCAGTCTGGAAGTCAGGGAGGGCTTCCCAGGGGAGGAAGAGGAGCAGGAGGAGAGAGCTTGGGTGTGCTGGCGTCTCCACACATGCAGGAGAGTGGCTGTTCCGGGCGGGAGAGGGTGCAGCGTGAGGGCTATTTGGGGATGCTGGAGCACAGTGAGGAGGGCCAGGGGGGCACACGGGGCCGGGGGAGGGGCTTGACTCACATCCAGGACCCTGGATTCTAACTCCAGGCCGCCTCCCTCCCCAGGGGTGGCCATTTCTGGAAGGTGGGCCCCCACCCAACCCAAGAGAGGTGACACAGGTTAGGCACTCAGGTTGCCAGAGGGACACAGAGCAAACGAAGGGGTGGTTGGTCACTTGTTGTTTGCAAAGCTCTTCTCACACCTGCCCTTTCCCTGCGTCCTGAGCACTGTCCCCACTGCGCAGATAAGGAAACTGAGGCACTGTAGAGGGACTAAGGTCTCCTAACTGGTGGGGGGAGAAGACAGATTTGAGTCTAAGTCTGTTTAATTCCCCATTCGCATCTCCCCACTCACCAGACCGCCAGGCAGGATTTTAAGTAGGGTGAACTGGGAAGGGTGTCCCGCAGGATGTGAGTTTTAATCCGGTTTGGGGAAACAGAAAGGAACAGAGATCCGATGGCAGGGAAGGTGGGGGAGAGGAAAGGCCGGTGTAGGGCCTGAGGCGGGGGGGGGGGTCTCTGCAGGTGCGGTCAACTTAGCAAAAGGATCAACAGTACTGCATTTAGTTGGCGACCTAAAGGTGCCTGGACTTGGCTAATGCCTGACATGTGTCACCTCACTGGCCCCACAGATGCCCTGTGACCTGGCACTATCACAGCCAGTTAGTGGTAGAGTCAGGATCACACCCAGGTCCCCCCGAACAGAACCCAAGGGCTCGCCACCACACCCCAGAAGGAGCTTCCGCTGCCCGAATGTCTCCCTGGCTGTGTGACCCCCGACAAGTTGCTTACCTTCTCTGGGCCTCTGTTTCTTCATGTGCAGAGTAGGGATGATAATGCCGATGAAGCACGAAGAAGACATTGTTGTGCGTCCAAATCCTTCTTAGGAAAAGTGTATTTGGCTAAAAAGAGAAATCCGCGGAGTGACCAGAGCCAGTAACGCAAGGGTATGGAGCCGGCCGGTGCCGAGACTTTCTAGAAGGAAGCGGGTGAAAGTAGTCTGCAAGAGATAAGGAGGTCTGCCTCTTCCAGGGAAGGGGGGTGTGGACTCAGGGGAGAACAGCCAGTGAGGTGATAGCGTCTCCCCGCAGATATGCCATAAAGCTAATAAATTCAGAAACGCTTGGTGTGGGTGGATATTTTAGAAACCAGTGACGGAGCTGAGCTTTTGCACTTGAAATAACCCAGAACGAAAGAGACCGAGCCGGGCGGACAGAGGATCCCAAACACGGGAGAAGTCCTGGGACTCAGGACCGCCGGTGGCCCCAGACTGTCCGGGACTAGTCGTACTCGGTTCTCGCAGGGACGAGGGCACCCCGGCTGGCACCTGCTTACCCTGACCTTGGTAGTCATGCCTGCCTGCTTGCCGCCCCCATAACCCTCCCAAAGTCGTACATTCCTCCTTCTTCGCATGTCAAGCCTCCCGTTGCCCCTTGGGTTCCATCTTCGACTGCCCTGCGGCCGTTCTCGCTCCTTCCACCGTGTCATCTTCATCACGCTTCACGCTGCACCCGCCATAGCTTCCTGACTTGTCAAGGTCACTGACAAGCCTCACGCTGCCTCGTGTCAGGACCACGTCTCTGCTGGGAGGTACGTGCCACGGGGAGCCACAGCCCCTCCCTTCTGGAAACACTATGACTCCGTGACACCGGCCTGCCTGCCCTCCCATCTGTCCGGCTCACCTGCCTCAGTGTCCCTTGCTGAATTTCCGCCCCGGCCCCGAGGACTCAGGCCACTTCTTCTTGGATGGGAGACACCTCTTTCCTCTCCAGAGCTCATCAGCCGCCGTGGCTATTTTTAACAGTTTCATTGAGATATAATTGACATAGGATAAACTGAACATATTGCAAGCGACATATTTAAAGACATAATTAAAGTGATGATTTGAGGAGTCTTGACATATGTATGCATTCGTGAGACCGTCACCACAATCAGGATAATGAAAGTAGCCATCATCCCCCCAATTTCCCTCCTGCTTCTTTGTCATGTACCCCGAAAGCCCGCCCCCTCCTCCCCAGGCAACCACAGGTCTGCTTTCTGTCACTACAAAAGTTAACTTACATTTTCTAGAGTGTTATGTCAATGGAATCAAAGGGGACATTCTCTCTCTCTCTGTCTCTCGTTTTTGCCTGGTTTCTTTCACTTAGCTCCGTTCTTTTTAGACTCATTCATTCTCATGTGTATATCAAGAGTTCATTCTTTTTTTTTTTTTTAATTAATTTATTTATTTTTGGGACAGAGAGAGACAGAGCATGAACGGGCGAGGGGCAGAGAGAGAGGGAGACACAGAATCGGGAACAGGCTCCAGGCTCCGAGCCATCAGCCCAGAGCCCGACGCGGGGCTCGAACTCACGGACCGCGAGATCGTGACCTGGCCGAAGTCGGACGCTTAACCGACTGCGCCACCCAGGCGCCCCAAGAGTTCATTCATTTTTAAAATGGAGTAGTGTTCTATTGCATGGGTCCACAATTCATCTGGCCATTTTTCTGTCGATGGACATTTCAGTGGCTTTGTTTCGAGAGATTACAAATAAAACAGTTATGAACATTCACGTAGGAGTCTTTGTATGGACATATGTTTTCACTTCTCTTCGGTAAATACCTAGGAAAGGCATGGCTGGGTCTTACGTTATGCACACGTCTTACTCTACAGGGAAAAAAAGAACAAAAACCTGCCCGCTTTTCCAAAGTGACTGTAACATTCTACACTCCAGCAGAGCGCAGGAGAATTCCATTTCTTCCACAGCCTCACCAACACTTGGTTTGGTCAGTTTTTTTCTTATTTTTGGGTGAGTGGTGTTGGGATCTCCCTGTGGCTTTGACATACAGAGCCCTCATCTTCAAGGACAGCAAAGCGTTTTGCAAGTACTTGTTTCCCACCCATATAGGTGGTTTGGTGAAGGGTCTGTTCAACTCTTTTTCCATTTTTTAACATCAAGTTGCTCGTTTTTTGTTTTTGTTTTTGTTTTTGTTTTTTTTTTACTATTGAGTTACCAGAGTCCTCTAAATATACGGCAGGCAACTGCGTATTGTATCAGCAAGGATTTTCTCTGGCTTGTCTTCTCATTCCCCTAACAGTGCCTTTTGAAGAGCAGAACTTCTAAATATTTATGAAGCCCCATGTATCAATTTGTTCTTTTATGGATTGCGTTCTTGGCATGCTGTCTAAGAAATCTCTGCCTGACCCCGGGTCGCAGAGATACTCTCCTATGATTTCCCCCAGAAGTTTCTAGTTTGATAGTTTTGTAGTTATAGTTTATGTTTGGATGTATAATTCACTTGACCTTCTGTATACGGATCGAATTTCAAAAATTCATCTCGAGATCAATGCGGAAAGAATTAACATCTCAACCGTATTGAGGCTTCTGCGTCACGAACATGGTATATCCCTGTATTTCTTGGGTTTTTCATTTCTCTCGGCGATGTTTTATACAGGGGACAGGTTGTACACACCATTTGCCAGGTTTATTCCTGAGTACGTTATATTTCTCGATGGTATTGTAGAGGGTATGGTTTCATTAATTTCAATTTTGATTGTTCGTTGCTAGTATATAGAAAGACAATTGATTTTTGTACATTCATTTTGTACCACACAACCTTGCTGCACACACTATTTCTTGTAGCTATTTTTTTTATAGATTCCATCAGATTTTCTAGGTAGGTGATCACGTCACCTGCAAGAAAAGTCAGTTTTACTTTTTTGTTAGCAACCTGAGTGCATCTTTCTCTCTTTCTTTCTTTTTCTTTCTTTCTTTCTTTCTTTCTTTCTTTCTTTCTTTCTTTCTTTCCTCCTTTCTTTCAAATAGTGCTGTGCCAGCTGGAACTTCCAGAACAATGTTGAATAGAAGTGGTGGGAGTAGGCATCCTACTCTTGTGCCTTGATCCTAATGTGACAGCATTCAATCTTTTGCCATGATGCACAACGTTAGGTCTAGGATTGTCGTGGACACCCTGTCCCTGTGTCAGGCCGAGGAAGTTTCCTTCTGGTCCTACTTTGCCGACACTCATCACCAGGAATGGAGATTGGATTTTGTCAAATGTTTTTTTGGCATCTGTTGAGTTGGTCATAGGCTCTTTCCTTCTTCATTTGTCAATATAATGAACTTACTTTCTTCATTTTTTAATGTTAAAACAGTCTTGCATCCGTGGGATAACCCCACTGGGTCATGATCAGCTTCTTTTCTTTTTTATGTATCATTGGATTTTATGTGATAAAACAATGTTTAGAATTTTTACATCGTGTTCTTGAGGGCTCTCGGCTTGTAGATGTCCATTCTCGTAATGTTGTTGTCAGGTTTTGGTATCAGGATGATGCCAGCCTCGTAAAACAAGTTTGGGAGGCACCATTCATAGAATCGTAGAGTGGATATTGTTTCCACAGAACTCGTATTATTTCTTCCTTACATGTTTGATCGGATTTACCAGGGAAGTTGTGTGGTCCTGGAGTTTTCTTTACAGGAAGGCTCGTGGTTAAAACTCAACCTCTTGACGAGACAAAGGGAGGGCTATGGAAGTGTATCTGTTTCTTCTTGAGTAAGCGTTGGTAGGTTGAGTCTTTCGAGGAATTCGACCATTCATATGATGTTGCCAAATGTACTGTGAAAACACTGTCACTACTATCCCCTTATGATCCTTTGAATATCCGTAGAAGAGTGATTTCACCCCTCTTATTATTGATACAGTGATTTGTCTTTTCTCTCTTTTTCTAACTGATCACTCTGGGTATGTA